TAAATATATAATATACTATAATGGTATAGCAGTCATAGAGACTATATTTCTGCACTGGTGAGTTTAAATTTTCATACTCTAACATTTTCTGGTTTTTCTTGCATACTTTAGTGAAATAATAATGCAGGACGTTTATTCTGGTAAAGACCTGAATACTTCCTGCACAACGGTCACAGTGATAAAAAAAAAAACTGGTCATTCATAAGTGTTACTTGTAGTGGCAAGTCAGCAATTACTGAGAACAACTGTGGACCTTGTGTCTGGGGATGTGCAAGCCAATGGCTTACTGGGGTAGCAACTAAGCACATACAGTAATTGTGCAGGGCACAGGTGTCACCTCCACCCAGTGTATTAAACATGGACATTCTCCTCCTCAGTATTTGTAAATGACCGACACATCATCCATTCCCTCAGAAATCTGATTTGTTTTCATAAGTATTCAGTGTTAAACTGACTTCTGCTATTTTGCATTTTGATGTCAAACGACACCAGTGAACTCTGCAGCTGTGTGTGTCTCAGGAGAGTGTGCCAAAGTTTGTGGTCCATCACATATTCTCCATGGGTCATGCACAGACCTCAGATTTACACTGACATGTAGTGATGGCTAATCAAGGCTTTGTTGAAGCTTCGACACAGTATTCACAAAAATGGTTCATTGCTCAAGGCTTCAATGACACAGTTGTAGTCATTAAAAAGAAACAAACAGAATATAGTAACAGATAATGTATAATATGTAATGTGAAGTAAAACACATTAGAATGAAATATAGTAATAAGGAAGGTGGTTGTGTAACAGCCACAAAAGGGCATTGACCTGTGGTGCTGCTCTCTGAGAGGAGTGCAGGCACCACGCTTCCTATTCAAAACATCTAGCACAGTGTATTCCCTAAAAAGGAGAAGCTAGCATAAGTTTTTTTTTTTGGCCAAGTATGTTGCACACAAGGAATCTGTCTCTGGAACAGAAACAATGGCGGCCATTTGTGGCACCAACTCAACCGATGGTTCTAAACATCAGGGGACAATGGGGGGGTTCAGTGTCTTGCCCAAGGACACTTCACATGGACTGCAGGCACCAAGATTCAAACCTTCAACCTTCTGGTTGGGAGACGACTGCTCTACCCACTGCACTAATGTCACCTCCTAGGGTGTTTCCTAAGAAGGAAAAGTAAGTCTAAGGGTTAACACAAGTGGGAAAAGGATAGGAAGCGAGAGCTGTGAATAAAAAGAGGTAGGCTGAAGGATAGGGGTGGAGAAGAATGCTACTGTGATAGTGAAGTGTGTGCACGTTCTATCCCAGGCCTGGGTAGGGGGAAGGGACTCTGGACTTGACTGACTGACTGGGACAATCTTCCTATTGTTAGGTTATTTCTTAGTTAGATAGATATGGATTAGAGATCTGTTGTATTAGAAGATGTTTAGTGCAGACAGGGTGACTAGTTTGATGTAACTATTAGCCTGCAGTAAAATTGCAGGCACGCCAAGGTTACAGGAAAAGAGCTTTTAGGGTCAACTGTAATGCTAGTCTTAATATTTGTCTTAAAGTGTAAGGTTATGTCCCATTGTTTAGATACACACCACGAAAACAACAGTCACGCACCTTGACTTTGCCTCATGTTTTGGCT